ATTACTATACAAAATTATAAACAACCTGACCCCTCCCTATCTTAAGAATCTCATAAACCCAAACCAAACCCTAACAATTTTATCAGATATATAGGCTGCTTATTACCGGTCATGGCTTTGTGTTCTTCGTCGCTTTTCAGCAATAATGTGTAAGACGATAAAGAAGCCATGTTAGGCTAATCATATTCTTCAACACCAAATTCTAAAGTCACGCAATGCGCATGTTTGTTTTAGTCAACTTCCGAGACGACAAAATTGACACGATGCTACGACAGAATAAAGTGTCGCGTGATTGCGTCAATTCTTTCGTGTTGTCGCGTTATGAAAAGGGCGAGATTTAATATGGCCACTATCAGCCACCATAATAAAAGGATCATTAAGCTTGTAATATTCTCTTACCTTCTGGTCCATATTAATTTTTCGCCAAAAGGTTGCAATAAGGGTATTATAAAAGTGCCCTTATTTGTTTATTATCTTGAAAGATAAGAGAAATCCTATATTGTCGTTTCTTAGTAATTTATTAAATGAAGATAATGGTGGTGGTGTTGTTTATTACAGATTTAACGTCCATACAGTAAATATGCTATTATGGACAGATTGGTTTAATTTATACTTTTAAGTAGGGGTTGAAAATTGGTAAAATCACAAAATAAAAAAGTCCTTGTATATCAAAAAGTCACTTATAAAATCTCTGTCGTGAGTAGAGAGGATGGGTCATCTTCTCCCATTTTCATAATAAAAACAAGTTTTTGGCGTCAATAGTGCGGATAGAACGATGACGCCGAACATTGGCAATGTGTGTGAAATAGCTTCGTTCTCAAATAGCATAAAAATATGGTATATCAAGGTTGTGGACCTAATAGAGGTCACAATTTTAATCTTATTTTGATGAAAGTTGAAATGTAAGTTTATAACCCTAAGATCTCAGTTCCTCTAGATATTCGCGCATATCGGAATGTAACTTCCTGAATTATGGCCCCTGATTGTACGAAAAATCGCGATTTTAGCTTGTGGACCCTATAGAGGTCATAATTTCTATCCGATTTAAAAAAAAACGTATTATTATATCACCGTTACAGCCTAAGGGCGAGTGAGTTCGAATTTCGTGAAAATCGGCCCAAAACTGACAGACAAAATGGCCGCCCTTCGTTCTCAAATAGCGTAAAAATATGGTATATCAAGGTTGTGGACCCTATAGAGGTCACAATTTTTATCCGATTTTGTTGAAACTTGAAATGTAAGTTTATAACTCAAAGATCTCTGTTCCTTTCGATATTCGCACATATCGGACCGTTACTTCCTGAATTATGGCACCTGATTGTACGAAAAATCGAGTTTTTACCTTGTGGACCCTATAGAGGTCATAATTTTTATCGGATTTAACAAAAACGTATTATTATATCACCGTTACACCCTAAGGATGGCTGCGTTCGAATTTCGTGAAAATCGGCCCAAAACTGACAGACAAAATGGCTGCCCCTTGTTCTCAAATAGCGTAAAAATATGGTATATCAAGGTTGTGGACCCTGAATTATGGCCCCCAGCTTGTTCTTTATTCATCTTTCGAAAATGTGGGCGTATCCTGCCTGGCAGCCGCTGGTCCAGCTTGTAGGAACTATTCCTTCTGATCATGATTTACTGAATAATTCTAAAAGTAAATTACCTAATGAACCTGTGAGTTTTCTTAACATGCTATATTTTGTTTGATCTTCGCCAGTCGCCGAGTTAATTTTGCCACTTAAACCTGTAGGATAAAGGGTAATTTAATTGCTTTATGGTCATCTGCTAAGTAACGCGATGGTTTATTCCAATGAAATTCAGAATTCATATTTAAGAATATTTCACTGTGATGCCATCAGCTAAAGTTTTCACTAATAGCTCTGCCTTTTCGCTATTTGTCATGGCTGACTGGGATTCATAATTAAGCGTAGGAATATTTCTAGAAAAAAAATTGCTTTCCAGACATTTGAAAGTTTTATCATCAGTACTATCACAGAAAGCCTTCCAATGATTTTCTTTTGCCTCTGAAATGACCTGTCTGACGTTTGCATCGCACTGCTTATACAAAGATTAATTCTCTGCGGACCATACGCGAAATGTACTAAGCAGCAAAAGAAACGTCAGGTTGGTATGTTACTCTGAATAGACGCATTGCATAAAACGTGCCAAATGTTTTTGTTGTATATTTGTGACCACATCTCCAACTTTACCTGAGCAATAAGGCTCCTTCCCAAACAAAGAATTGAACCAAGGAAATGTTCTCAAAAAACGCAGCCTGACTTCTGAAATGGTAATGTGTTTTCCACATGCCTGGGTCCTGTGTTCCAAAATCTTGGTCCAGGGAGAGGAGGCGGCATCACAGCAGTGCGCTACATCGAACAAGCTCTAAGATCCCACGTCGTACCACATTTCGCACGTCATCGAAACAGCGTTTTCCAGCATAACAACGCCCGTGCCCACACCGCCAGAGTTACACGGGACTATCTACATCAGAACGGTGTCAACGTTATGCACTGACCAGTCCTTAGTCCGGACTGAAACCCGATTGAACATCCTTGGGATGAAATTCAGATGAGACTTAACAACGTCGTACCGAGACCAAACACAGCCGATGGATTGCGCCAGGCTTTTATGATAGTGTGGTGCCAATGGCGTTCATAAATCGCCTGGCCTCTCACTCCATGTACAGACGCTGCGCTGTTGTTATTGACACTGGCGATGGACACACCAGATACTGATGTATAGATTGTGTACAGACTCCAAACCTTTTCGTAATGTCTTGGAATTGTGATGAATTAATCACTAATGTGTCAATATAATGTTCACAAAAAATTGATTTGATCCATTTAGTAAGTCGTTTTCTAGAATGAATTTATTAAAGTGCCTCTCTGGATTTGAAATCCTACTGACATTTTTTTTTTTTTTTTTTTGGCTGTTTAGTAGTTTTTCGCGTGATCTTTCCATGCATTTACGGCTGTTTGACATTTTGGGGACCACCAATGTTTTAGGTCGCCTTTGGTTTTCCCACCTGTTGTTTTGTGGAATGAAGCATCTGCTACACCGAAGATCGCAAGCGAAAAATTTTCAGTAATATTTACATCATCGCTTGGGTCGATTTCTTCACAGTGGTGTTGAAAAGAGGCCAATTTTCTTTTTCCAGGTTCCATCTTTCTTTGCACGTGACTGGTTCTTTATTTACGTTTGAGTTTATTTCATTTAAGACTATTAGATGATCACTACCCAGCGTATTATTTATGACTTACCACTTACAGTTGAAAGCTATACTGGGAGATGTAAGAGTAAGATCAAAGTGGGATGCACCCAGTTTGTTGCCAGAACCGATATATGTTGGGTTACCGTTATTTAATAGAAATAAATTGCAATTTTGAATAAAATTATACAGTTTATTTCCGGCATTATTATTAAAAGGGGAGCCCCAAGTGGAGTGGTGACTGTTAAAATCTCCACATATTTCGTTTGTCGTTTTTAGCTAATTCTAATCCGATTACCTCAACTTTACTAGAGTTTATTCTAATAAACTTATGAGAGAGTTATTCACTCACGAACATTGCAACACCCCTAGAATCCCCCTTTGTCGGGTTAGGGCGATCTTTCCGCAAAAGTGTGCACTCAGTCAGTTTTGGACCTAATTTTGTTTCCTGTATGCACCATATTGTGTCAATTTTGGATTTACAATGTGGTGACGCTGGAGGGGAGGTAGTCATTCATGGCACGAGCGCGGTGGGCACGGGCATTATCATCTTAAAAGATGAAACGTCGACCTGCACGTTGAGCAAAGGGCAGAACTATCGGTGCCAGGATGTGGTCATGGTAGTACACACCAGTGACCCTTCCTTGAACAATATGCAAGTCCGTTCTACCAGTCATGGTGATTCCTCCCCACACCATAACAGACCCACGCCCGAATTGGCCGTTTGTCCTCGATTTCGCAGTACCTGTGTACGAATGTATCGATCCTGGGCTTGTGTAGTGGCTCTAGGACGACCTGAACGAGGTCTATCATCAGCATTGTGTGTTTGTTGGTACCGGTTCCACATTCTGCTGATCACAGACGGTGACACATTAAGCATGCTGGCTACTGCTCGCTGTGTAGAACCCATTTGAAGCATGCCAATAGCACGTAGACGTTCATCATGTTGAAGACATCTCATTGCAAATTAAAAGTAACACACTAAAGCAAAGATACGCTAAACAGTAAAACTTATGAAAGAACCGATAGGAAAGAAAACATGGATAGGATAAACCAGCACGCGGCAGTTTTCATCAACCCTTTCTTGAAGTGTCAAACTTGACAATGCCCCCCCACCCCCACCACCCCCACACACGCACCCACGCGTGTATGGCGCTATTGCGTGTCGCATGTGCAGCTCAGTGGTTCTGTTGGGGCGATAAGTTCTTCATCTGTGAACATACTCTCAAAAGAGGTCAAGCGTCCATAATTATGTATCATATAGCAACCTGCATAGGTATTTGCATCTGAATATCCCCTACTTTTTTTGAAGAGTATATTTTGATTGGAGAGGTTGAATTCTTATTAATGACCCAGTTAGAGTATTCGTTAGTATTTTTCTTATTTATTTTGACATTAGTCTTGGAATTCTTCTTATTTTTATGCACGTATCCTTTGTTCGATGTCGCCTCCTCATCAAAAGACACGACCCTTGTTCGTTTTGGAAATTTCCTTTTCAGGGGTGATTTACTTTCCTCTTGTTCGACTGGGTCGGTGGTTGAGCGATTGTTAAATATTTTCTTCTTTTTAGCCGCATCTGAGATGTAATCATTCGAATGATCAGATAACATCTCATCTTCACAAACCTCGGTAGGCCCTATCCTATTCAGCTTACTAAGTATTATTAATCACATGATTAGGGACTGTGCTATTTATTTCAAGGTGGGTGTCAATTTTAAATTTTTTAGCACTTTGTTTCATGACGTTTATGAACATAACTGCAGAGAAATTACAGTAAATACAAAAACGATTGAATGTAAATCAGTTTATATACATCCATATTACATTATTATATGCATTGCGAGCCATCTGTGTCAATTTGTTGTAAGTCCCAGATATTAAAGATTTAGCACCTTTCAATATTTAAACTATGAGAAATCGATTAGAAGTCCTATAAAACGCAATATAGAACAGTACTTTTTTTTAACCTTTCAAATAATAAGGCATACACCAAAGTGAAAATGTTATCAGGATGGTGCACAAAGTATTATATTAAACACCATTTTATTCATTCGGTCTGATCATGTGGGTGTGTGTCAGTACGCCGCCATGTAGTGTTGTATTATAGTTATGTTTTAAACCACCTAAAATAATTTTGGTAATCACCAATTTAGTAGATATTATGTTAAAGATGCATTATATGTAAGATTTAGATAAAGACCCGGTCGTTCTTAATATAATACCTCCCAACCTCGGAGTCGCGCCCCTAGCTGGGGTAGCAAAACACTTTTTGTGGGATCGCGGCGGACTACAATCTAATTAAAACACAGGTCCTATTTCGTTTCGGTTTTTTTTAGTTTAAACAAAATTTCGTTTTACTTGTCTTTACTACGCTAGGATCTGGAAGAGTTGTTATATAAACCGCGTTCTAGTTGATGTGAGGGTTTAGCCAATGAAACGGTCTGTTGTGGCGAGTTCTTGGCGTGCGATGAATGGAACTGAGGATATCCTACATCAACGCTGATCGGTTAATCCATAGAACTAGTATACTAGTTCTATGGTTAATCGAATGTCTAACGTGCTCGTATGACCCCTGACGCGACCTCCCACTACACTAGTCAGATCTTCATGTAATAGAGGCCATCGAAAGTATAAAGAAACGATACCATGATCTAAGTCTCGATTATCAATTTCATCGTTAAATCTTTAAATCTCGCAGGTTTCAATCCATTTAAATCTCTGTCATCCGATGCTCTAGAGAGTTGATTATTGTCTTGCCATGTGAATAAATGTCTAAATATTAATTTATATGACATTTGAAGCCAAAAGAAAGACGCGCAATAGGCAGATTTGACTCTTAATCAAAATGCATATTGAAGTCTAAAATTTTCCACGTTTTAGTGAACGTACTGCTGTGGTCATTTTACATACATGAATCAAAAACGTTTACAAACTGACACCCTATTAATATTAATATCCAAAGACTTGGAGGAAAAACTTAATAATACATTTGTTGATAAACATCCATCAACGATTTAACAGTTAAAATAGTTTCTAGTTCATTCACATCCGTTTCTTCCCAGGCGTAAAATATCACAATCTTCGTCTCGTCTTTCATTAAGAATCCATTTTCAGAGAACCGTCCTGGAATCCGATGAGAATCAAGCCAGACAAAGGGGGCTATTTTTGTTGTACTTAAGATAATTTTGAATTCTGTTTTCATAGATTTTTCATCTAATATCCGTGTTATCTACAATGCAGAAAAAAACCAATACATTAAACGACATCCAACCAACATAACAATGAGATCGTATGATTGGCTAACATATTTAATAACAAAGGAGTGGCATCTTTGCAGTGGCTACACAGAATACATTAAGATGTTGTCAGACCTTAAAGATACATTCCCGCGTACAAACTAGGTGATTTAATGGTATATATGGACTAAAAACATATTCAAACTAATTAATTTGTCATAATTTTGCTTCAAATCCTTCTCTGTAATTGCGAAGGAATGCCTTGCTATAAAAATTCGATCAAACCAGGTCATGTTTACGTCACGTGACTTACCTCTCTTGGAAGTCAGAGGATAATTCATTGCATATATAAGACGATGTTGTCTTTAATGGCTTACTATTTATTACAAATATCGAATCCTAATTAAATTCAAAGATTATCCACTACCTGCGTCTTTTTCCGTCATTTGTATCTCAGAAAGTGTGTTGTACGTCTAACTCTTCATAAAGTTTATCAACTTGTACATCAAGCACTCAATGTTCGCGTGTGACCTTTGACATCACGCGTGCAGAAATTCATAATCGTCGGGCTGTCGATTAGGGGAACCCTTACATTTTTGTCCTGTATATGCTCCATGATTGTTTTTCGGGGAATCCAGTATTTTTCTAGTAAGATTGGATATCTCTACTTTCCATATATACCAAAATTGCCATACTTTAATTGGAAATAACCACCCGATAAATACTTTTCTGGGAACCCATCTTTAATGTAGTGCTTTAATATATAAACGGCAGAAAATGAAAAATGTGGGGTTAATTACATCATTTATTAGTTGAAGACTAGAAATTATTTTCTTTCTGTGAATTATTGCCTCTGTCACCCAAACCTTGCCAATACTCTAATTACATTTATTAATATACAATGCATGATATCTGCTCAATACATAACCCCAGGAATAAACACAAGATCTAGACGTAAACTTGATATGAGAATGACGATACACCAGGGATAATCAGATACACATTTTTATATAATTGTTAAAACATACCACTGATAGGCAACCTACCTGAATGTTAGCTTTTCGCAAACCAAATGCTTTATTAAAATTAGACATTCTTAGCCAGGTTGTCGGTATCGTATGCTCTTCTTTATCTTTGATATCGAAAAACAGAAAACAGCTTTGTACAAACGGACAATCAGCTTCTCTCATCAATTGATCTAACTCCTTCTTAAACACAGATTCTGACGTAGTTTTCATCTATAAAAAAAATGTCCGTCTTCATTAGCCCATTCGGTGCATAACACTAAGACGTTAAACCACCTTTCATTTTCATGAAAAAAAACTTAAGAGTTTAATAAAGAGTTGGTCATTCTTGCTATAATAATTCAAAAATAGATGATGAAAAGAGAAAATATTGAAAATTTCATTCAAATTACTTCATTCTCGGCCAAGTTATCATTGTTTGTAGTTTTGACAAGATGTGTGCACAGTGGTAACCATGGCACTGGTTTAATCGGGACTTAGCCTCGCTTTCCCAATTTTAAATTAAATTTTTAAATGGTGAACCGTTTTAATATAGTTAAAATCTCGAGTATCCGATGCCATCGAGAGTCGATTATGGTCTTGTTTTGTTAATAAATGTCTAATTAATAGTTTATATAGCATTTCAGGCCTAAAGAAAGACCTCCAATAGGCGGATTTAGCTCTTGCATAGTGTATATTTAATGTTAAAAGACGTAAAATGTGAATTTACAATTCATTGTCTTCATTGCTTTTTGGTGGATGGAGGTAGACAAGCAATTAGGGCATTCGACTGGCGGTTCTGGTAATGAAAGTACCTGGTCGTTCCGTTTGTACGATGCCGTGTATAGAGATATATTATATTCCACACATCATATCCTTAAATTAAAAGATTTCATATAAAATTGATAAACTTGTGGATAATTGAAATTTATCACCGACAAGGGCGTTTTCTTGCCAATTTCATTTACCCATATTTTTGTCAGTTTTGTATGAAATAAATATGCATATCTATAACATATCTTTCCTTGGTGGACACTTTTTGCAATACCTTGGACGCTATGCCAAAAAACGCTCCAGTCGGTCCTTGTCGCTGACTTGTAGAACCGCACATAAACATAGAAAAATAAATTTATGTGTACCAAATGGCCTAAAACTATAGTATAGTAGTATCAAAATGACTTTAACATGTTGAATGTTTTCCCTATTTCTTTAAAATTTGATTTCGCTTACAGTCACATCTACATTAAATAGACAACAGAATTGGGATGATGTAGACATACTTCCTTGGCCTGCGTGCTATTAAACAAAGTATGTCCTGGTGTTCTTATCTAAAGAGGGGTGTAAATACCCCGCAGGCCCGTTGGCATCAAATTCACATAGGGAGGGGATGGGGTTGTAGGCGTAGTGAACTCCCCGGGCCATGTTTTACACACATGTGCCTCCCTCAACGGCCCCACCGGTTCCGAGGGCCCTGATACTAGAAAATTGGTAAGATATCTGTATATTGATCACCGCAAAAATGTTGGAAACTGTGTCAATGTCATGTAAATTTACATTTCTTTGGAAGTGCACTCTACCTGGTATGGAACTTCCCACTCTTTAAGAGGCTGGAACCTTGTCCAAGAATACATGGATATAACTAACGTTCCTGATATTAATTTCTTGGTTTTTGATGCAAGGTATGATATATCGGAATTAGAATAATCCGTGTAAAATAGTTCAACTTTATTAGTTATTGGCCTAAATTCCATTTTCTTTGTGTAAGAATCTGTCCACAAGGTAACTGGTATTTCATCAACAACTAGATAAACATTGAGATCGCCATCATCGTCTATATATGGTGAAATGAGCAATGGCGAGAAAGATTTCATCATGTAATAATGTAGCATCTTCCATTTTACGTTATAATCTAGAAAATAGAAAAAAAAACATGTTGGATAATATATAACTCCAATGTTCCCGAATAAATGTCACCTAAAGACTTTCGGACATTAAGTAATGTAGATCAAAATATCGTTATTAAAATCAATAAATCACAGATAGGCCGGGGGAGCGCCGTCCATGTCATAATAATATAGTAAATAATGGAAGCTGCTCCGCTACTTTCAGCAATCTATAAATAATACTTTTGAGGGGCGTAGTATTTTTCTTATTACATTGATGATATAATAGGACAAGATAATAAAAAAGTAATCAATAATTTTAACGAAATATCCAACCTATTGATGACCAGCTTGGTGCAGGCCAAACATCATTTAACTGCCAATACATGGCTCCCATAGTTAACCCTTCGCCATTGTCTCCTAGATAATTCTGACTTCTACGATAATGTTCTGTTTCTGCTTGAATGGCCATCGCTTGTGATATCTTAAAAACAAGATTAGTATTTTCCGGTTATTGTTTTCAACTTACTCGGACGAGAGCTTTTTCTTGTATATATGGGATAACAAGCAAACAAATGGTTCGTTGTTATCCTGTGCAATGGGAATGGGGCGATTTTTTTTCCAGACGACTACATTTCCGTGTAAATGACATACAAGGGAACGTTTGGGTCAATTTTCATTTGCATTGGATAAGCCAATATGAATTCATTGCTCTGGTCCATGTTTAATCTGAATTACCACGATCTGGCGTTTTAGGAGTAGGCGAAATACGAAGATATATTATAAATAACCTTATCAAAACGAATGATGTTTAGTTGCGAACTACTTTCCCCAATCACACAACCACAGTTAGCATAACCGCACTATACATAGACTTATATTACCTGTGTCACGTAAATAATATCGGCTAATCTTTGTTTTTCATCAGTAGAGTTGGGGAAATCCATGTACTTTTCTATCAATACTTTCATTTCAAATTTACCTGTTAAAATATTATATCCATCAATATCAATACAAAAATTATTCATGCCGCGGACAATGGGGTATCTATTTACACACAAATGTTTACTGCCCTGGTTCTACATCGCAGTCGCCTGTCCAACCTCGTGGGTTTTCTCTGGGTCCTCCGGTTTCCTCCCACTACTAAAGACCCCTACGCGCAAGCGAATTATTGAAATAAAATTGAACCATGTGTCAGTCTCGAAATGGCCTAGTTTGTGTCGAGTGGACGTTAAACCCTATTTCTGTCTCTCTCTCTACCTCGCATACGATAAACAAGATGATGCCAGTATACCTGATGTGTGATGTTGGCGATGTTCTAACATTTCAGAATCAAATCTAAGATCTTCTTCAGCAAGTACATCTTCCAGTGATTCCATACTACAGTATGACTGTATACCATACTCTGTACACATTCTAACAATACTATAACTTGTATAATTCCACAAGTCACCACTATACTTATAAAAGTGAACTAAAATAAAGGAAATACAATGTTACGATTTCCTATTTTGGTTGCAGACATGGGGGTTAAGTGGTCTAACGCTTTAGATCATAAGGTCTTTCATTTAGTCAAATGGCGTGATTTCGATCCCAGGCTTGTACGTGCCAAGGCGTTGGGTCGCCTGTCCAGTCTCGTCTGTCCAGCTCATAGGTTTTCTCCGGGTTTTCCGGTTTCTTCTTACTATTAAAGACCCCAAACAAGCGAATTATTGAAGCAAAATTGTTCCATAATTATGATAGTCCTGAAATGACCTTGTTTCTGCCGAGTAGACGTTAAACCCAATTTCTAACTGTCTATTAGATTGAATACAAAGGAGGGTTGGCGTAATCGCCAATGCACGGACAAATCCTTCTACCTGATATCGTACACCTAGAAGCATACATATACGTTATTTTCTTTTTGCAGTTGTAGCATTATGTTCAAGAAAGGTTAAATTCCATATTCTCGGTTTTTGTGACTTAATAAAATTTAAATCTGGCTGTAATTAATGAATAAGAAACGTACTGTCACCGTACATGGTGCTATCAGGATTCATAGCTAAACCATTTTTATCAGTTTCAGATAGTTTACCATTACTTGGACTTGACGCCAAATATGGTCTACTTTTATCAGCTGTTTGTACAATAGGTTTAATTGTTTGCAGGTATAGTTTACCATAATCATCTGCGTATCGTTCAAAATTGCGGGAAGTAAAATACCTGACAAAAAGATAAAATATAGTTATCATTAGCAGGACATGCATTATATACAACCTTAACATATTATACAACATTCAGACCGATAGAAATTTCTAAAGAGAATACTTTATTGAAAATAATTATGTTGAAAGGGAAATGACAATATATCATAATGTATCTAAGAATTCACCCGGACAAGCGGTAAGATTTTTTTTCTATTAAAATTGATTACGAATGTACAAGGAGAAACCCCAGATATATTTTGGTAAATAAAACTGGTTATTTTGGGGAGAGATACTCTTGCAAACCTCTACCATTATCAACTACATGTATCTCAAGTCACTTGTACAACTGAAGAATGGAATTCCTTAAAGATATCTTCCCGCGTACAAACTGGATGAAATGAAATGAAATGGGGTTTAAAGTCCTACTGTTCTGCTCCGACGGGTTCCTCCCACTGCTAAAGACCCCTACGCGCAAGCGAATTATTGAAATAAAATGAAACCATATGTTAGTCCCGAAATGACCTAGTTTGTGTCCAGTGGACGTTAAACCCCATCTCTCTCTCTCTCTCTGTCTTTAATCGCGGAGGGGGGGGGGGTAGATGGCCGAATCATACGGCGCGCTGTATCATACGGCCTGTCATTGAGTCAACTGGCGTGGTTTCGAATCCTCGGTTGTACGTGACAAGGAGTAGGGTCGCCTGTCCAACCTCGTGGGTTTCTCCGAGTCCTACGGTTTCCTCCCACTGCTAAAGACCCCTACGCGCAAGCGAATTATTGAAATAAAAAATTGAACCATGTGTTAGTCCCGAAATGACCTAGTTTGTGTCGAGTGGACGTTAAACCCCATTTCTCTCTGTGTGTCTTTAATCGCTGTCCATTTATTATAAATATCGAAGCCTAATTAAATTTTCGGATTATCCACTGCCCAAGTCATTTTCCGTGGTTTTTATCTCTGAAACTGTTGTACGTTTAAGTCTCTCACCTTTTCCTTGTCCGCTCGCCATCAAGTTTATCAACATATACATCAAGCGCTCCCTAACGCTGAGAGATCAGACAATCTTCGTTTGCAACCTTTCACGACACTCGAGCAGACAACCCTTTATTGCCAGGCTCCCAATTAATGATACCCGCTCGTTGTGCCCCGTGCGTGCTCCATGAGTGTTCTTTTTTTAAAAGGAATCCAGTAGTTTTCTAGAAAGAGTGGGTGTCTCCACGTTTCATATATACCAAAATTGACAAACTTTTATTGGAAATTACCACCCGATAAATACTTTTGAGGGACAGTATCTTTAAATGGATAAACAAATCATTTCCGAACAGCTCAATGTTTTGACAAGCTATAAAGAGGCTATATTGTCACAATTTCGCTTTTCGTTTACATATACTTAAATCCACTTTTAGTTACCGTCTAACGTGAAATGGATATTCTGTTTAAAAGGTCTATGATAACCATAGGGTTGTATTGAATTAGCAATATACATACCATCCATTACTTAAACCAACTTCATTCTCATTATTACCACTCCATACTATTATGGATGGGTGATTTTTCAATCGAATCATCTGTAACAAATTACATTAGGTGAATATCTTCTCTGATTGGCATTTAGTAATTGAACATATTAACACAACGTACAATTTTATGGATACGCAATTACTGAGTTTAATACTAAGGGACGTTTCGACGAGGATATTCTCGTCTTTATCAAACAAATGATACAGGTATGTGAATAGCAGGCAAATATATACAGAATATGCAACAAAGATAACAATCAAATACAATTAAAACTTAACACCTTTGATTAGGGGGCCATTTACAACTAAACCTACAGTGGAAACTCTTACGGGGATTAAAAGGGGAGGAATGCCTATTTCTTTATAAAGATCAGTGTATTGGCACTATTAATAGGAAACCAATTAACCTGAGCGATAGATAAACAATAATTTAAAGAGAAGTGTGTATGCATGGGGGTATGAGTGAACAAGGGTGATCGATGATGCAAGGGAAATAAAAAAACCATATTAATTCAATAAACAGAAAATCATGAAAGATATAAAACCTTTTTAGACTATATAACTGGACGAAGGGAGCCGAAAATATATTAATTCAATAAATTGAAAATAAAAAAAATGTGAAATATATTATTAGACTGTAAAACTGAATAAGTACTGAAAACCAAGACATGTAAAATGTATAATTAGACTGAAAAAAATGGATAAGCACTGAAATAGAACAAAAGCATAGGAATCAATGTATAAGTTCGCCATAAGCTCCTGAACGAGAGTGATCGCTGATGCAAGGGAAACCATAAATGTATTAATTCAATAAGCTGGAAATCATGAAAGATAAAACCTATTATTAGACTATAAACCTGGACGAGGGAAACCATAAATATATTAATTCAATAAACTGAAAGTCAATAAATGTGAAATATATTATCAGACTGTAAAACTGGATAAGTACTGAAAACCAAGATAAAATGTATAATTAGATTGTAAAACTGGATAAGCACTGAAATGTATTAATTCAATAAGTTGAAAATCATGAAAGATGAAACCTATTATTAGACTATAAACCTGGACGAGGGAAACCGTAAATATATCAATTCAATAAACTGAAAGTTAATAAATGTGAAATGTATTATCAGACTGCAAAACTGGATAAGTACTGAAAATCAAGATATGTAAAAATGTATAATTAGACTGTAAAAAGTGGATAAGCACTGAAATAGAACAAACGTATTGGAATCAATGTATAAGTTGGTCATAAGCCCTTGGTATAAATAGTCCGACATCCCGGTTTAACTTGGGCTTGATGCGTTTTATATTGATGGCCTCAAGAAGTTTCCTGGTTTTCTTCTGGTGATGATGTACTGCTACGGCTGAGGGATTGGTGGAAGCTAGTGAATTGTGCTCTTTCATTCGTACATCAAGTGGACGCTTCGTTTCTCCTCAATACTTTTCGTTGCACGTGTAAGTTATTTCATAAATACAATTTTTGGGCTGTGGGGTTTGTTTGTTTTGTATTACCATTAGCTTGTAGTAAATTCTGTATGGTCCTGTCGCTTGAGAAGGTGACGTCTATGCCCACTTCTTGTTTCGTTAACCTTCTGATCTGGTAAGAGATTTTGCCGTGAAACGGGATAGTTATTCTGATGCCCGAGTGGTCAGTATTTGGCGTTTCTGGCTGGTGTTGGTTCTCTATGGTGGTGGTGATGACATCATTAACCAGTTGGGTGCGGTAACTGTTATTGTTTATGAAAACGTTCGTTAAATGCCCTAATTCCGCGGGTAAAGTTTCTTCATCACATACCTTGGTGGCGCGTCTGGTTAGAGTGGTGATGATGGATTTCTTAATTTGATGCGAATGATTTGATTTATGGTGAATGTATTGGTCAGTATGAGTTGGTTTCCTATAAACAGTAGTGGAGGACTTGTCAGACTTAGTTACTAAGACATCAAGAAATGGGAGACTGGCATCCGTTTGCAGTTTCCATTGTGAATTTTATCCTCGTTTGCCGACTGTTCAGATGTTGGAGTAGCGTTTATGGGTTGTCGTTTTGATGGAGGACCACAAATACATCGTCAACCTTGCAATACCATCATAGGGTGTGATGGGGAAAGTCTGCAATGCATCAGTTTCAAAACTGAATGTTGAATAAAATATTGTTTAAACTAAAACTGGTCATAAATACCTCTGACAGTTGTGGCGATAGTGGGTTACCCATAGTCAGGCCATGTATTTGTTGATAATATTCATCACCCCATTTAAAGTAAGTGGCAGTTATACAGTGACGTAACAGTTGAATGGTATTATCAGTGGTTAGGTTGGTGTCCAGTGGGGCCTCTAGGTTATTGATTTACATTTTAAGTATTTGGAGTGTCTGAGCTGTAGGGATATTGGTGAACAGGTGTACTACATCGTAGGAAAGAATGGTGCGGGCTGATAGGACTGTTGCCAGTTTATGGCAAAAATCGCTGGAGTGGTGCCAAAAGACGGGTTAAGGATTTTGCTGTATTGTAATATACTGTATCTCGGGAACAAACCAATAAGCGAGTCTTGACCGGGTTCTTGTGAATTTTAATGGTGACACGTGCATATGGTGGTCTGGGATGAGAGGGATTCAGGGTATAGTAGAGTCCTGCTGTGATCTGTTTTTTGTCTTTCAAGGAGGTGAGAAGTTTTCGCAGTTTGGTTTCATGGATGGCTTTGGTACGTTTTGGTGTCTTGGAGTAGGCTGTTCACGGTAACCACATAGTCAGTGGTGCCCATAATCACAGTAGCTTTACCTTTGTCTGCAGGGATGATAGTGATATTGGTGTCTGCTTTCGATTCTTTTGTGCTAGCTGCTGGGATTTGGATAGGTATTTTGTTTGATGTTTGGTTTTCAAAGGGATATTCCTGATCTGATGCCTGAGATAATCCACCTTGCCACCTGTTGCCAGTTAACGTAACCCCATTTCTATACTTGTGATGATTCTTTGGTCTAGATACAGCGATGAATTTCAGATCTTTAGATAGTAGAGTAATATATTCATCGGCGAGGTTAGTTGAGCTGAGGTTCACAACTGTCTTTGTATGTACTCATCGGAAGCAGACTTGTTGCTTTTGGTAAGTGTGGGTTGTTGTCTTGATTTTAAACTGTTGTATTTTATGATGTGCCTGGTTTTCACTTGGTCATCAAGTACGGAATTAGCTTTTATCGTATGGATTTATAATCTTCTGGGGAAAGTAAAGATTCGAGTTCTGCATGTTGTTCACTAATTAATTTTGTTTCTCAATTCTAATGTGCTGAATTCATTCTTTGACAATACATTAATACATTGATCATTATAAATAATAGGAATTCCTCCCCCTTTTAATCCCTGTAAGAGTTTCCGCTGCGTAGGTTTAGTTGTAAATGCCCCCCGCCCCAATCAAAGGTGTTAAGTTTTAATTGTATTTGATTGTTACTTTTATTGCAAATTCTGTATATATTTGCCTACTATTCACATACCTGTATCATTTGCTTGATAAAGACGAGAGTATCCTGGCGGAAACGTCGCTTAGTATTAAACTCAGTAATTGTGTGTCCATAAAATTGTACATTGGGTGAATACTTCCATTGGAATCGTCAGAATCTATTGCTCTACCCGTATAAAGACCACCCGTTCTCGTACCAGCCTTGCTAGCCATTTGCTGACACACCGACCTTAAAGATATCTTGGGCATCGTCGAGTACTACGGACGAACAACTGTTTTTTAAAAAGGATTTTCGTGTCGAATGGGGTGCTGTTATCAAATCAAATATGGCACGTTTTCCACAACTAAACGGTATGAATATTAACGTATATTTACCTGATATTTTATTTCTTTTTCAACTGAATTTAAAAAGTCTTCGGTTACAGGATAAAGATTAACACTGAACATGAAATCTTGCCATATCATTATACCCAGTTCATCAGCTAAATCATAGAAATCCGTACTTTCATATACCTACAATAAATATACTCTTTTATGGAACATGCAGATATACAACTGTAGTATCGATGATGAAATGAAATGGAGATTAGCGTCCTATTTTTCTGCACTGACTGGGCTAGTTAAGATTGACATACACCATGCAGTGTGCTATGAGGACACTTATATCGAACTCCAACTGTCAAGGTTTTTTTTAAAGTGCACGCTAACGTGTATACGGGACCCCGTGCCGCACCACTAATAAGGGAAGTACATTACAGCGAATTCGTACCCTTTTATTTTTGCGGTTGTTATAGAGCTTGCTGACAAATGAAACGAATAGCATATTGATTAAATGCGCTCAAAAGGGCAAAACTTTATCGGGAGATTCGTTCACACTCACGGCCGATACCTGCTACCAATATATAGACCTAATAATACATATATTGGTTAAGTACAGAAACATTATTGAGAGTTATATAGATCTGGATGCGGATATTTCATACTTATCAACGACACAAGTAACCAACTCCTAAAAGATGGAATACCGTACCCGTTGTCATTCTATGAAACCGTGGGAACCTAAATGGTCATTTATATAATTGTTGACTTTAATGTATAATTTGTGTTCCTGATATACTTACCCCTCCACCCCACACTCTAAGACAGTTCATATTAGCATCAACTACTGATTGTAACATATGACGTAATTTACTTCGAGTAATCCGTTCTTTAAAACTGTCGGCTGGTACCCAGTTAGATCCCTTCAGAAAAATCGGTATACCATTGATTTCAAAGAAAAATGTTAACCCTACAAAACAAATTAGACTGTACCAGGGCATTATACATTGTAAAGGTATTTTATGTTGTTTGGGGTGGGGTGGGGTGCTATAACAAACTGTTTTGAGATATAAAAGTGGTTCAGTGAGTAAGGCGCTGGCTCACTAACCAGGAGGTTCGAGGTTCGCTCCAGATGTTGGCTGTGAATATTCCCCTGGAATGTTACTGCGCGGTATACACTTGTCAATGGAGCAGGACGAGTGGCCTGACACGGAACATCGTCTAATCTTTCGAGTGCAACGAAAAAAAACGAGGTCCTGTGTACATAAAATAACCCTTGGAATCCAATTGCTGCCCGGGAAACATTCCCCTCGTAGCACATTGCATTGCGCATGGCCGTCTTCATTAGCCCGGTTGGCGCAGAAAAGCAGACTGTTAATCCCCATTTCGTTTTTTGATTTGAAATATAAGGTGAAGAACACATCAGTAAGAGGTTCTTTATTTTATATACAAAGCGGTGATTTTTTTTTATGTGAGAGGAAAGGCGAGGTCTTACGATATACAACTCACCCGGTTGGACAGACTATGCCATCATTGACCTGTAGCTCGAGATCTGATGGTTAATGTTAACGACTAGGTGACCCAAATAGAATAAAGGAGTTCTGAATTTCAACGTTATGAAAATACATCAAAATCCATTGAATGCCACAAGGAACAAGTCATTTTACCTGCACTCGATATGATGTCTTTATTTACATATTGCTCGGTAGAACATTTGCAAATAAACTATTTGCTACAAAAGTCTTACCCTTTGACATGTCCCTTGAAACTTGATTCTGTATAAGTTCGATGGTTCTAAATCCAAAATAGACTATCTTGGTTATAGATTGTGTTGTTTGCCATACAGTAAAAGTGGCAAGAAGGCCATACATATTTTGTTCACCATATCCATTTGGCCACCATAATTTTATATCGGCATCCTAAAAAAGCACATAAACTGTGTTTCTTTTCTTTAAGTTAAATGAAAATGTAAAGCAATAAGCTAACACAGTTCCCCAAAAAGTATCATCTCACTCAGTCCGCCACCAACCAAATGTACCCTTTCTGAAATCGTCTATAACCCCTTACAAAGAAAATATGCTAATGAGCCAGCGTCAAATATATCGATTAATATTGTAAGTTAAAAAGAAATGGTAATAAGTAGGGGTCAAAAGTATTGATTAATACTGTAAATTTAAAAAAAAATACCGTTGGTATTTGTAAAGAAACTTTATGGTGAGTATTGATTGGTGTGAGTGTTATTAATTGTGTGGAGTTGATGTTAGTATTGAGTAATTCTAGAGTTAAGTCCCCTGTTATTATATCATTAATACCAAAATATACATCAACACCCACCGCCCATGTAGCACCATCTGCAATAGAAAAAAAGGTTTAAAGATGTCATATTCCAAAATCATACGTCTGACATTTCGATTCGTCGAACATATTTATTAACTAAAGGAAACTTGGCAAGGCATTCTCGATACAAATATTGCTTGAATTTATGCCCAAATAGATGACAGTTAAATTTAAATATTCCATTACAATTCAAGAGACTGGTTTCTAAAAGATGCATTATGTAAGAGCCAAATCTGCTATTGCGAGTCTTTATTCAGACTTCAAATGACATATAAATTATTATTTAGATCTCTGCTCAAATCACAAGCCCTTAATCAACTCTCTAGAAAATGAGATGGTTGAGATATTGAGCGGATTAGACAGTGTATGGATGGTACTTGATAATCGAGACTTTTTACTTCATTTCTTATGAAAACTTCAAACATTCATAACTTCGCTCAGAATGAAGTAATTTGACTATTTTTAAACATTAGCTCTTTATCTAAACCTTACATAATTCATATTTAAGGGGTTATATTATAACACTTTGCCCTGCTTACATACAAATTATGCAATGCAACACATACGTGTATACCAATTACCTTTTATTGGAACCACACACAGATCTTGGATGATAATATCACTGAAACACTGAATGTACATAGCTTTCCTGAAACAGTAGAATTTCAACATCACGTCGCATATTTGAGGGATTGCTCATACATTTTGCGATAGAGACATTCACACCTACACATCTAAAAGTTTGAAACATGTCTAGACTATAGATCTGAATAAATGAGACATATAGGCCTACATATGTTTGAAATATGTGTGGGTTATACAGTTGAGTGATTGGGTGATTGGGTGATTGAGGGGAGTCGCGCTGATTGTGTGGTTAGGGGACTGGACTCACCAATCTGTTTAACAGAGAATTACGAGTCTCGTATAATATCTCTGTCATAGATGACTGCCTTCACACGTGCTGTCACAGCACGCGGTGTGAATCATTGGCTGAATGGCGCGTGCATTGTTTACATAAGACATAACTGCTTCGGAGAGAATGCTGCATTTTAGTCATTTTAATACCCATTTACACTAAATCGGAAATAATTTTTAACTACAAATACGTCAAACGCCTTTATTTATTTTTCCAATATATACAAAAAATGTTTTAGAATTTAATTTGTCGCAGGAAAAAAGTTAATATTTCTAGCTCATTAAGCCGCATCAATGTCATCCTTATCAGTGATTGTCGCGGCCAAGCAAATATTCACTGCGGATCAGTGTGTGGACTCACGTGTAGGCTGCCCCAGGGTCGAATCCTGGGAATTGTGATTGGTGGCGCTGAGGTCCCGTGTACGAATTGGCAGTGTACGTAAACTATCCATTGGTTGTTTGATTTCGAAGAAAAGTAGAATGAAACACACTGCACAGGTGACCACAGAAAAAAAAACAACCATAGGCTATAGGCTGGTTTCAAAATGACCGAAGTAATGTGCTGATGAGACAACCGTACGGTACCTATAACCTGACAACCAAACAGAAAATCAAACCACAAAACCGCGGATAACATAAATAACACTGGAATGATTGAAACATGTATATATATGGCGTACTGGATGGATGGGGAGATTGAGACATCACTACATATTGCAAATTGCGTCGTACATTAAAGGTGAACTCGCACTATGACGATCGTATCCTTCAGTATATTATTTCCACAAATTATGACCTTATTTATTAGTCTGTCAGTCTATTAGTGAAAAAAGTCGTTTTATACGGGTTCATTTCAGGGCGGCTCCCGTGGAGATCAGTGAGCGCTCATGCAAACAGATTTGTTCTAAATTAGCCCGTGATTGGGATACTCGGGTTATTATGAATATACTGTTTTATTTTATGATCAGTAGTGGAATACCGCGTTTTATCAGTGAAATAAAAGTGTTATTCCACTGGCTAGCAGTGTTTACCTAAAATGATTGTAAAATCATAAAATAAATAGAACATTTGTCGTTTTGTCGTGAATAACATATTTTATTTCATCTCTAAGCAAGAAAACGTTTATATTTTCACTCATGCTATACGCATTCGTGAAAATATAAGTTTTCTTGCTTCTCGATGAAATAAAATATGTTATTCACTCTAAAACGACAAATATCCTCTATTTATTTAATTAATAAGATGCATTTACTGGTTGAGGGCGACGTTGTTCCTTTAAATGTCATTAATTGTAACAAGGATTATAACAATGAAATGGGGTTTAACGTTCTACTGATCTGCTCCTGCTGCTCTAATAAAGACGATATATACCAAGGAATATCTAAATAATTTCTGTAGAATCAATATATAGTATTTTGATACTATAAAATGTTTTTACTGTCTTACAATAACAATACATACCATATACCTATAGTAGGAAAAGACGGTGCAAAATCCCAACTAAATGACGCCTGCTCTTTCCGGATATACTGTCTATTTCTTTCGCCATGTTGGAAATCTACATTAGAATTAATACCAATAATATATGATGATTTAGATGCCTGCTTATTAGCATATTCCACCGGTGACTGAAAATAAATCCTTAAGTCGTTGCCACCATTCTAGAAAGAAAGATTTTAAAGGATTTGATATAACTAAAGGAACTAAACTTCTAACTCAAAATTTTCCATAATATTCAAAATTAAAAACACAAATTAGAATTCAATATTGGTCAATTTTCATCAATATTGATGTTGTTATCTTGCCGTGAAAATATAGGATCCTAATATTCAATATTTAGGACACAATTAAAACTTTATAATCAGTACACGAGTCGTGTATTATATGGTTCCGGATGCTATTTTGTAATGAACAAATAAAAACATATCCCACAAGACAATGTGGAGTAATTAGTAAAGGTTGATTCACAAACGACAAGGTAATAAAAAAAAAACTGCAGAATGCAGGAGTAACCGACTGCCGTTCAATTTTTATTGAATTTCACCGAACATTATTTACAAAAATTGAAAATAAATCAGTTTACATACATTCATATTACATTAATACATGTGTGTGCATTTAGAGTCATTTTCGTATCAAATAGCAATTTAAATGGGGAATTCGATTCAAGAAATTAATCAAAAACAAGTGCAATGTTTCTACATACGCACAGTGCACTTCTAGTTTTAACATGAAAGGGAAAAGGATTCGCCACTAAACCCACGTTCAAAATAGACATGGGATATTCAGTGACACATATGGCAACGTAAGAAGAAATTCAGATAAACCGATTTTAAATCGACTTTAAAATGCGTGCGTGTCACCTTTTATCATTCTCAACGTTGTATACTAAGCAGCAAAAGAAACGTCAGGCTGGTAGTTACTCTGAATAGACGCATTGCATAAAACTTGCCAAATGTTTTTATTGTATATTTGTGACCACATCTCCAACTTTGCCTGAGCAATAAGGCTCCTTCCCAAACACAAAATTGAACCCAGGAAATGTTCTCAAAAACGCAACCTGACTTCTAGATGGTAATGTGTTCTCCGTGATTTTCATGTAACTCATGCTGCACGTGCTGTTCACCGGGACCAGCCCTATAAAATGCACCATCTACAGGCTTCAGCAAAGCTTTCGGGCCACCAACACCACGGATGACCGCCCCGAACTGTTAGATCAAGGGTTACCACAAGGCGACAAGACCGCCATGTTGTGCGACAGAACGTGCAGAATCCCTTCACACAGGCATCTGAGACAGCACGTCAGACAGTGGGAACACACGGAAGACCCATTCTTCGACAATAGAACACAGAGTCGGTTATATCTTAACACTGACTTTATTGATGTAAAATTGTCGATAAAAACGATAGCTATTTCAGACAACAAATCAACATGTCAAATACAATGAAATCGGCAACATTTTTGTACCAAAATCAAAGAGATTCGGCGTTTTAAGAATAAAACTATTTTGCAATCAATGGCTTTCAGCACATAATAGGAGAATTTATTACTTTACCTGTAAGTGTGGCTTGATATCAAAAACATAACGAACGAACATGTTATCTGTTGTTCCCAGTAACTGGTCGTTCAGATATACTGAGGATATGGTATCCAGCCCCTCACAAACCAACCATATAGATTTGTGTTCTTTCATACTGTCAAGTCCTACTAGAAATGAAATGAAATGGGGTTTAACGTCCTACTGTTCTGCACCGACTGGGCTAAAGAAGTCGGACACACGCCATACGCAGTGTGCTATAAGGGAAAGTTTACCCGGACAGCGGCACTACGGCCTACTTTAATATCGAATTCCAACGGTCAACGTGTTCTTTTACGTTCAAGTCAATGTGACCTCGGATTTTCGCCCCATTCAATATACGTTGTCCCTTGCCTGGTCCCCCGTCCTGCAACACTGACAAATGAGAACCACGCCGGAAAATCCCGATGAATTTTCTTGATCAACTGCAAAGGGATCGAACGAGGGTCCTTCGGGTTAGCGACCCAACTTCTTACTCACAGAGGTACTACTGGAATAGACATAGCAGAAGTATAGTGGATTAGTATATTATGGGTTTGTTGTTTTTCCTTATACATTCAGTTTTTTAAGCCATGTCTTTGTGCATGGGTTAATAATAGTCATATTTGAAATAAAATATAAATGTAACAATTGTGGTTGAATCCTATTATATATTAGCGGCAAAGTATATTTAGAAATTTATTCTATGTCCTACGTTGATCTTAGTCTATATCTAGTATAACTATAAGGGAAATATAGACCAATTATAAGTTGAAATATGAAGTAACGACTAGAAAAATGTCTAATGAAAATTGTGTTTAACTGTTTTCAGATTTTTACACTGTGTTGTAATCCAGCCAATTTTTTATCAACTGACAAACAGAGTGAGTTATATCTCAGACAATCGTATAACCCTGACATCTGATTTTGGTTATGAAGAGAACTGGCTTAGACAAACGGTGTGGTTTTCCTTAGCATCTAATTGATTTCTTTCTACGCCAGGTAAATGTGATACTAAACGTCTGTGTATCCAAGATAACAGTAAGAAATGTGAAGTAAAGCGTGCTCGCACAGGTATCCTAGTATCTTCTTCCCAGCAGAAATCACACATGCGCTTACCTTAAATGGTAAGAAAATAAAAGTGGTATTACTCACAATCGAAACTTAATTCATAAGTCCAATTAGAGTGATTAATCCAATGTAGCTGAACGTCATTGTCTCTGTAATATGGTTCTCCTGTTATTCCACTTTCCAGTAACGCCGTATGTACAGTTCCTGGTATTCTTCCATGTACCGTGACATCTTTAAAAGAAATAAATATTAATAATTAGCAAAGCAGAATAAAAAAAAACAATTAATAAAATATATCAGACAACGTATCCATTTGCAGGTCAGCTTGTAGAACCCCGAAAATTAAGACTAAAACTTCTCGATTGGCGTGTTGCTCTAACAAGGATATTCGATAGGAAATTAGTCGTTCGGTAGGGACGACAAATCGAGGTCCCGTATTTGGCTTTAAGAGTTTAACTTATTGCCACGAGAATATTCCGACACTTTGATAACTTTTAGTAACTTTATTTTCTATTTTGACGTCGATTATGGGGAGGGTATTCTCAAATTCCAACTGACTAGGGGTCTCTTACGTGTACCTGATCATGTGGTTTTTCGCGACATCCGAACGCCTAGACACTATTGCTTGTCCAATTCGCAGTCACTTTTCCTGGTGGTGTGGTGTGGGGTGGGGAGGGGGGGGGGGGGAGTCCAGTGTCGTAACCGCAGGTTGTAAAAGAAAAAATGTAAACATCCTAAATTTTTAAGTCAAAAAGACATTTTGATATAAGTACTGACGGATGTCGTGTATCGTGTATATAGGTGCACGGATTATGCCTGAACCTTCTAGAATATCTGATACCATCTTTCGTATCGTATATATGGGAAGCTCACATAACTAAAGATGTATATTGTAGTTTTGTTTGTAGTGGTCACAACTAAATATAGAAAAGAAAATTCACTTACTTTTACCATTAGATATTTGCCATGGTATGTCCGTAAGTGAAATTTTATGTTCTGTAGCAAAATTCGTAGCAAGTTGGCAGACAATTAGAAGAATGAAACATACCCCAGGCATGCTTAAACTAGAAGTTAACTGAAAAAAGGAAAAAAGTTTTCTGTTCAAAATGGTGACATCTGTTGATTTATTAGTATAAGGCTTGTATAGGAATCGATTTAATAGCTTGCTATACAAATGATTTAACAATCACTCACAAAATATACACACAGTCAACAACACACTAAATTATTGACCAACCTTGGAAAAGTATATAAATATTGCCATTGATATATACTCTTCAAAAAAAAAAATAGTGGATATTCAGAAACAATTCAAAACTGCGGAAATGCTCTGCTGTTTTATTAGAGGTAACCAGGGTATGTTAATAACAGGCCAATTGCCTACATGTGAACATAAATAGATGGGCGGCTAATCTGACGGCCCCATTTCATTCGCAAAGAGTTACACCGTCAAAAGTGAAAATTGACGTTTTTGATTTTTGTCTTAATAATGAGTAATTGCTTCACCAATCCTCAGACATTCACCAATTCGTCGTGGTATGCTCCTAATCAACCGCCCAATCACGATTTGGGGCAATCTGGCCCACTCCTCTTGCAGTGCCACGGTCAACTCTTACGTTGACGTCGACGAACACGTCTCCCGATCAAATTAAACGTAACACACTAAAGTAAAGATACGTTAAACAGTAAATCTTATGCACGAACCGATAGGAAAGCAAACATGGATAGATAAACCAGCACGCGGCAGTTTTCATCAACCCTTCCTTGAAGTGTCAAATTTGACAATGACCCCCCCCCCCCACACACACACACACACACACGTGTATGGCGCTATTGCGTGACGCATGTGCAGCTCAGTGGTTGTTTGGGCGATAAGTTCTTCATCTGTGAACATACTCTCAAAGCATGTCAAATGTCCATGACTATTTATCACATCGCAACCTGCGTAGGTGTTTGCATTTCAATATCCCCTACTTTCTTTTGAAGAGTATAGAACAGAATGACCCAATACAATCAAATTAAATGGTAAAGACGCTGCCCTGACAAACTTGGCCTGGTATTACACGATAGCAGGCAAAACAATGCTTTGATTTTATGTTACTTTAAAAAATAAAAATGGTACAAGAAAATAAAGAACTATAATTTGAAGTAATAAAATCTTTAAATTTTGATGCTAACAGCTATTTGTCAGAGACTTTCTAGGTGCTTAAATTATGTTTTCAAAAATTTAAGTTGTAGAATGATACAGTAACTAAACAGTCTATAAACAGACAAATTTCATTTCTGTCCTGAAATAATGATTAATAACAAAATCTGTAGGTACCCCTAATATTTTACTTACATTTTTTACATTGATAATCCCAGACTGTTACTCACCATATTTGAGTCTGCATTAGTTTTTCCCCATAGTCATTACAGAATCATTTTGCTTCTTAGTCATTTCATTTTTATGGAATGACAACTTCGTCAAAATTATTTCCATCTTTTTAGTCTGCTTACATCAAAGTAGATTTGTCATTTCGGTACTAATATGGTACATGTATGTTTTTATTTTAATAATCCTTTAGCGCAGTGTGAGGAAACCGGTGGACTACGGGAAAACCCACACCTTTACATGCTAGAATGGTTGCCGAGCAGAATCGTCGTCGCCGTTAACGGGCGCACGAGCGATTTTTTAGAGCGATTTTAAAAATCGGTGCAATCGGGCGAAAATACGCTCGTCTGTCCCCGATTTTAGGCAGGCGACCAAACATAAATGGCTAACTGAAGAAAGTATGTAGTCGTATATTCATACAGTATTGGATTTTATGTAACATGTAGCATACCATAATAAATACAGTCCAGTAAACTAATTTGAAATAATTGTATAATAACCTATAATTTATAATAATTAACACAGATACGTTAATTTTGGCTTGTATAAAATTACGAGTACGAGTATTTATAATGTGTCTACATAATTAATAGACCTATTGCTGCGAGCGGAGTGATATGCATGGACAATAACAACATGTTTAACCAGTGGCTGCCAGGCAGGATACGCCTACATTTTGCAAGAGATGGATAGAGAACAAGCTAAAACAAAAACGATTTTTTGTACCATCAGGGGCCATAATCCAGAAAGTTATGGTCTGAAATGCGCAAATATCAAAAGGGACTGAGATTTTTGGAATATAAAGATTTAAAGTTTCATATAAATCTGATAAAAATTGTGACCTCTAGAGGGTCCATAACCTTTGTATTACATACTTATACACAATTTGCGTGCAAAGAGTGCCATTTTGTCGGGCAGTTTCATTTCGATTTCCCCGAAATTTGAATTCAACCTTCATTATGGTGGAATGGTGATATATCTAAACGGTTTTTAAAATCAGAAAAAAATTGTGAACACTAGAGAATCCACAAGCTAAAAATGCAATTTTCGACCAGTCAGGGGCCATACTGGAATTTACGTTTATGAGCAGGAACCAAGGTCTTTATGATAAAAACATATATTTAAAGTTTCATCCAAATCGGATAAAAACTGCGGCCTTTAGAGGGTCAACAACCTTGATGTACCATATTTTTTACACTATTTGTGTACAAGGGGTGGCCATTACGTCCGTCAGTTTTAGTCCGATTTGGAATGTATAACTGTGATATATTCACACGTTTTGGGTTGTTTTTTTTAAATCGGATAAAAATTGTGACCTTTATAGGGACCACAGGCTCAAAACGCGATTTTTCGTACAATCAAGGGCCATATCAGGAAGTTACGATTCGATATGCGCGAATATCGAGAGGAACCAAGATCTTTGGGACATAAAGATGCATTCTAAGTTTGATCAAAATCGGATGAAAATTGTGACCTCTAGAGGTCCACAACCTTGATATACCATATTTTTACACTATATATTTGCGTACAAGGGGCGGCCATTTTGTCCGGCAGTGTTGGTCCGATTTTCACGAAATTCGAACTCAACCATCATTAGGGTGTAATGGTGATATAATAAAAAGTTTTTTTTTTTTTAAATCAGATAAAAATTGTGACCTCTAGAGGGACCACAGGCTAAAAACGCGATTTTTCGTACAATCGGGGATAATTCAGGAATAAGTTACGATGCGATGGCGCGAATATCGAAAGGAACCAAGACCTTTAGGTTATAAACATGCATTTCAAGTTTCATCAAAATCGGATCAAAATTGTGACCTCTTATATATACTATATAGGCCTAATAGCTAAAAACGTAAATTTTCGTACAATCAGGGGTCATGAACTCATGAAGTATGAAGTTATATGGTCGGGCCGACATGCCAATAATATAGAAAGGAACTGAGATCTTTGGGAGATAGACCTATATTTCATGTTTCGTCAAAATCGGATAACAATTGTGTCCTGTAGATTGTCGCACAAACACAAGCTAATGTCGCTAAACAGCGAGGGCGGAACGACCCGAATCACACTAAAAGTCATGTGATCTATTATTAGTTTAAATCACATGACAGCTGGCACACAAAATGGCGGATGTGTCCGCTCCTTCACAATCACAATTAAATCAAGTATCTGTCCAAGAACATCTCTATAAAATTCTTGTCATTGGTGAATTTGGAGTTGGTTAGTCATCTTTATTAGTTGATAGAAATATCGGTGTTTTTATAGATATGTGTCCATATTTTTTACGTGAAATGAAACACTGTAACGTGCTTAGGCTTAGGGCTTAGCAATACAAGTTATTATATATTAGCTTTCTAAATCTAAGTTTTTTGAAGTTGAATGCTTTGATTTTGAAATTTGTCAACGACAACAGATCTAGTAATATGAAAAGAGCGTCCATTTCAAGACGTCATTGGATTACACCCATTATGACAGTCATTATTTTGAATCATAAGACTTCCACAGTCATCCAAAACATCCCAAACTTCACTGTGATCACATTTTGTTCTCTACACTTTTCTGCATGTACATCATAATCATTACAGTGTATCCGCTATTAGGATATTAATTTAATTTTAATGTTGTTTAATTTGTAATAGGTATAATAATAATAAACAGGAAATAATAAGATAGAAATTTGTTTCTGTCATTTCAGGTAAGACATCTATAATCAGAAGATACACAGAAGGTAATATACCGAGTATCTTTAAAGAATCAAATAAAATCTTGGGAGAGTAATCCTTTAAGAGTAATCCTTTAAGCTGACACACTAGCTGAATGATTCAGCCGAATCGAAATTCACCAAATGTGTCCACTGTCATTCCGCTGAATGATTCGTATGAATCAAACTTGTTTCATATATGCGGTCGAATTTTCATTGTAGAATTCATTAGCCAATCACCACTGATATCGAGAAGTCACATGATTGTTTGAAGACATGTTCGCTGCCATGTTTAATCATGTGACAAAAATGATGATGCAATCGACTGGTGAATCGGATGAAGGATTCGCCTAGTGTGGTTACTCATTTGGCTGCAATTCGGTGCTGATCGATTCGGCCGAACGATTCTGTCGAATGATATGGCTAATGTGTACTCTGCTTTAATTACTCTCCTCATATTTTCTTAAACTGAACTTAAAGGGTGTATGGTTCTATTCTTTGGTACCTTTGATGAAAATGGGTATAGTATAAAGCACATATTAATGCAATATGAATGTATTTAAAGGGATTTATATTCAATCTTGAACATTTTTATTGTTACGCCTGCTTAGTCCATTCTATACGTTTTTTTTTTTATTATTATATATATTGTTGTCTGTGAATCAGCGATTACTAATTACTTCTGCATTGTCTTATAGGATATGTTTATCTTTCTTCATTACAAATGGCAACAGAAATCATAGAATACACGACTCGTGTATTGATTTTAAAATGTTCATTATGTCTTAAATATTGGATATTAGGATCCCATATTTTCACGGAAAGATAACAACATCAATAATGATTGAAATGGACTAATATAGAATTTTAATTTGTGTTTTTAATTTCAAATTTTATTGAACATATTGAGTTAGCGGGTTAGCTCCTTTAAAGAAGTTAGACCTGTAATAGATATATTTAATGTATCACTATTTAAGTCAAATTTTAATTACTATATCATTAAGAAGATAACATGAATTTACATTTCAGGTACATTTTTTCCAAACTATAAGTTGACGATTGGTGTGGATTTTGCCTTGAAAAGTGTCGAATGGGATCAGAATACAAAAGTAAATTTACAATTATGGTGAGTTGTAGTAATCATCCACTTATCTCTTTTCATTAGAATGCTAAATTTTGTTAATAATTTTTTACTTTTAGCAGCAAATGTGACAAAATTTTTTCCTTGATAAAATGATACCAGTACATAATTATTTTGATATTGAAAAAAAGTGAACCCAAATAATTTCATCTGATTAGAAGTAAATTAGGTTTTTGCTCATGATATATATCATAAAGTCTGTCATTGAGTCGACTGGCGTGGTTTCGAATCCCTGGTTGTAGGTGACAAGGAGTAGGGTCGCATGTCCAACCTCGTGGGTTTTCTCCGGGTCCTCCGGTTTCCTCCCACTGCTAAAGACCCCTATGCGCAAGCGAATTATTGAAATAAAATTAAACCATATGTTAGTCCCGAAATGACCTAGTTTGTGTCAAGCGGACGTTAAACCCCATTTTTCTCTCTCTCTCTCTCTGTTATAAAAATCAGGATGTGGTTTTGATTAGATTGGAATTGATTGAATGTTTTATTTTATATTAAAATCTAGGGATATTGCTGGACATGAACGATTTGGTCATATGACAAGGGTTTATTATAAATATGCGTATGTATTTATTTATGTTTGATTAGCAGCAAATTAGTAGTACCACCTTTTCAATCTCTGAAGAATTAGGGAACCTCAAAATAATATCTATTTTTCTTTTAAATATCATACTTATTACATGCTTTTATTATGCTGAATTTTGCTAGGGCATTGTAATGCAGCTCTTTTACTCATTCTGAATCTTATTTTTTAAAAGAAATTATATGTAATCTACTGAGAATTCATACCAATATCTGGTTGACCAAATGTAATTGAATCATTTTGACTTTTTATTGCAGAATAGCAGCAATTATTGTTTTTGACTTATCTCGGTAAGTGACATATAAATTAAAGATAGTGTTTGAAGAATGTATTTGCTATTCAAGATATATTAAATTTAAAGTTTGAAAATAGAGAAATAGTTTTCAAATTATATATTATCCGTTTTAACAGAATATTTCATTTTCATGTGTTGATGCAGTTTTGATTTGTCATCTTGGCATTGATTTGTGTTCTAATAGGTATATAGCAAGTCTGATCATATTGGTAATATTGTGGTCAATTCTATTAACAGAACACAGTTTTTATGGGAAGCAATCACTGGTTTATTCTAAAAGCATGACGTTTCGACAAGTATCCTCTTATCGTTATCAAGCACAATGTTATCTTATAACGATAAGTGGATACTTGTCGTAAACGTCGTGCTTTTAGAATAAACCAGTGATTGTTTCCCATAAAAACTGTGTTCTGTTAATGTGTTTCCCAATCGCTAATTGCCACTTAAAGATCAATTCTATTAATTAAGGGAGAAATGGGGTTTAATGTCTACTCAACACCAACTAGGTCATTTCATGACTAACACATGGTACATGTTAACCCAATAATTCTCTTGGGCACAGGAAATCCGTAGAAGTGGAAAGGAACGAGAGTAGGCTACTCAATAGAAAACCAACTGTATTAGGCAGGCAGCCCTGCTATTTATCAGTCATCAAAACCAGGACCCCTTGCATGTAACAGGCTTTACTTTTGATCTGCAGTGTACGTACACATATACAATACTAAGGAACATGACTGCACTTATTTGCACCTGATAGTTTAATCTACTGCTGCTGAAAAAAACAAGAATAACATATTCATCGATGAAATTGTCAGAAAATGTCAGTTATATAGTTTATTAACTATTGTTGTTTTGAATTGTTATTTCAGACCAGCAACATTTGATTCGGTCTTAAAGGTATTTATTTATTCAACAAAGTTTCAATCTTAGTACAAATTAATTAAAAAGGCTTATGTTAATGTAAATATTACAAATACCATGAGTTAGTGTTAATACTGATGTTTTTTTTTTTAATGCAATCTATTTTGTTTTCAGTGGTTCAATGACATTAATTCTAAAGTAATGTTGGGAAATGAACAACCAGTTCCTGTTATGTTAATAGCCAATAAAGTAAGATGTTTAAAAGCTGTAATAATCACTGTTTGAATTGTTCAATGAAATTCATTGAAATCCACTAATATTGAAACAAGCCCACAGGCTGAGATAATTATGGTTAAATGACTGCAGCTTCGATTGTCCACAGCAAAACCCCACACTTTAGTAACAGAGATCTTCAGATTTTTCACAAAAATCACAATAATTTGATCCCTTGACCTACATTCCTGGTTCGAATCCAGAGGGATGCCATTTGGAAACAAAGGCAGACTTCAAAAATTGATTTGGAATGGAAAATGTGGTGGTCAAAATAGCTGTGAACATTAAAATCGGGACATATTAGTGACTTTGATTAAAAATAGTTTTTTATATATATATAACAGTGTGATATTGAAGATGTAGAGATACAAAAAGATGTTCTTAATAAATTTTGTGAAGAACACAACTTTATAGCCTGGTTTTCTACATCAGCTAAAAATAACACAAATATTGGTATGTATAAATTGTTTAAGCGGCATATTTATATGGAATATAAATTACTTAAAAGTTTATTTCTAGCGGCATTTCAACGAGGGTTCTCTAGTCTTGTATTCCATAATATTGTCATATGTTATTGGTATGTAGTTAATCATTATATTAGTAGTAATATTATATTCTAATCTGTTTTTTGACTGGCACCCCTTCAGTTGTTTGAGAGATGGCAGGTTCAAATACTTGGTAGCTCTGTATTTTCTATTTAAAGGCATGTACAACAACATATGTCAAAAGGCATAATTATATTATAATATTTCATGTAAAGATTATTGTTATGTAATTAAGCACATCCCAGAATTGGACTGACTTTTATTTTAAAACATAATTACTATTACTACATGTTTTTTTGTCAATTTGCCAGTTAAAATCAATTGAAATTTTAAATCACCATAACTTCTGTCAGAATTAAGTTGATTTAGATAATTTTTTAATAAAGCGTTTTTGAGTATGTCTGATCTTTCGACTAAAATATGTCAATAAAAGTACTTTAGATTGTGTATGGTCTTAAAGCTCTATATTTGACCGTTATTAGGGCTTTATTTAATATAAAACAATACACAAAGTGTTAACATTAAATCCATATGAATCAATGGCTACGTGAACATTAATTATAAGCTGTCACAGAAAAAGTAAACATACTCATCGGGCACTAATTTTCTTTTGAACTTATTTGTGAAACTCGCTGATTTTTCTTTTCTTTTAGATGATGCAATGAAATTTTTAATTACTCACATATTGTCTTTACCTACGGATGTTCAACAACCTTCAGATAATATTTTACTACATAGCGGTAATACATCATTTGAAGATTCAGAAAGCGAAGATAAGAAGAGCACAAAATCAAATAGTGGTTGTTGTAGCTAGTATTAATTTAATGAGGACATGATCAAATTCAAATACATGACAGTTTTAGGGCTCCATATTTTATAACCTGATCTATCATCAGTGTCTTCCATGTTAACTCCTTTGTACCAAATCTAAATGTGTCTGGTTCCACTGAGCAGAGGTGATGTGGGTGTCAGGATTATAGGTCTGTCCTCTATGCAAGCAGGTTTTTGATAATATGATTGAATGCTTCATGGCATTGGGTTTTCTGCCTTATTCTTAGAGTACCCCGCTCCAGGAGAAAATTACCATATTAGTCTAAAATGTTCTTGTGGTGTTAAGTCCATTACAGCAGGCGGCAATTGAGTTTCCTTAAAAAATGATGCATGATGCTGCCATTGTAATATAATACTTGTCAAATATAAATTGGTAACTTACTTTGAAATAGATAAATGGACCAAGAGATACAATTAGTTTCTAATACTGATGATAGACAGGGATTTTTTTTCTTCGGAATAACTGCTAATCATTTTATATGTACTAGTAATAATGGTGACAGGTTTGTTTCTACAACTTGTACTTAAATGATACATATACATGTATATTGTTAGTATGAATGGTTGTATTTAATATTGCGTGCAAATTGAAAATAATTCTTGTTTTACAGTAGATAGATGTTGAATGTCAAATACTTTAAATTTACAACCAGTCATAAATCATTTAAATTAAGTGCTACTCCAAGGGTACCAGTTACGGCCCTTACTGTTCAAATGTATTAGAGATGTATTGTGGCGATAATGAGATTTGTACATAATTATGTGAATTGTTTTTTGCTCACTTTTGAGATGACAAAGAACTGCTTGTATATTGCAGATTTATGAAGATAAATTTCAAAATCAGATTATCTGAATATATACCGGTATAAGTCAGATTGGTGTTATTAGTAATATTTATTATTCTGGTCAAATAAATGTCTCCCTAAATTTGCATTATAATAATAAATATTTATTCCAATGTTTTCTTTCTACATAATGGAACTTGTCACTATGAAAAATGGCAAAGCAATTAAATTAGTAATATATACTCAATGACAAATAGTCGATCAGATTAAAGAGATGAGATTTAGTTGAGTCTTATATTTTAGACTTCATCCCTCCATAATTATTCTGCAGCAGATTTTTACTCATAGTCTACGGGGAATTCCTAAGTGTATAATAAGAAAGGAGTGGAATAATGGTGTTATCAATATTTGATAAATGACACAGAAATGAATGAATGGGGTTTAACCTCCTACTTTTCTGATGACAAATGGTCTTTATAAATATTGGCTACTTAAGTTATTACATATAGCTTATTTTATTGGCGCTATTAAAGGCCAATATTGGTGTAGTCATTATCACATATGTGACAGAACTGGATAAACACTTCCAAATATAATTTTAACACAGAGATCATTGCTACAATAAATGTGTTATAAAGCTTTCGAAGTAATTATTAGTCAGCAGAAATTCGCCCGTGTATCTGTTATCACTTGTCACTTCAGTTAGTTATATAGAAGGATAACTTGTGTTTTCCTTTTGTGTTCGTCATTTCCCTTTCTTGAAAGCTTCATAACCCATCTATCATAGCAACGATCTCTGTTTTAAAATTATATTTCGAACGTGTTTAACCAGTTCTATCATATATGTGATAATGACTGACACCAATATTGTCCTTTAAGTCTGCCACAGGTGGAAATATAAAAGTATCCAGTATAAATATATAGACCTATATTAACTGTGATAAAAGAATTTATATAAGCAAATTATTTTTACTACAATATTTCTATATATGAAAATTGTACTGCTTTTTGCTCATTAGTTGTGTGCTAGAAAAAAACATGTTATTATTATAAAACTGATTGTTGTTTTCTTATTTAAAAATTAATGAAAATTTTAGGAGCATTTGCAAACCACTATACCGGTATTCAAAATAAATGTACTAAGAGCTTGTTTTTTTTTTTAAAATTCTAATAAAAGGCCCAACCTTTGGCACACAATTGTTCTGAATTGATGAGCTGTTAAGTGGATGATAAATATTTTTATTTTTGAGGAATTTATAGCACCTGTATGCTTCAGGAATATGTGATTTTATTTTTCTCTTAAAATAATGCTCTCTTTAGGTTAGAATGATTCATCTATTTTGAATTTTCTTTTTTTTTTAAAAAAATCACCAGGACAGTTACATCAAATATCTGTCCAGCATAGATATAGCCATTTTCGAGAAAAAGTTGAAAAAGACTAATCTTTCAGCTGAGAAACTTGAAATCAAACCTAAATAAACTTTTTCAAAGCCCCATATAACGGATAAGAGTTTTGGGAAAGTTTAGACAAGTATCTATTTATAGTTGGAACCATGGTGGCTAAGTCAGTAAGACATTGGCTCGTTAACCTGTGTTAGAGCCCTGCATTGACTGAGAAAGTTTATCAGAATTTTCCAGAGTGTTTCCCCCTTGCCAATGGTTCAAGACAGAGGGTCTGACAAGGGACGTTTAGTCATTGGGATAAAAAACCAAGGTCCCAGATACACATTGGCGTGCACGTAAAAGATCCCTTGGCAGTTGGAATTTGAAAGAATAGGTCCTAGTGTCACTGTCTGGGCAAAATTTGAAAGAATAGGCCCTAGTGTCACTGTCTGGGCAAAATTTCCCTCATAGCATACTGTATGGCATATGCCCATCTTCATTAGCCCAGTCGGAGCAAAACAGTAGAACGTTATTAAACCCCAGTGGGTTAGGTATTGGCTCTGTAATCTGGAAGTCCAAGGTGTGATCCCGGTGTTGGGTCGAAAGTTTTCCTCTGCCTTTTCCAGCATGGTTTCCCCTTGATAGTGTTGCAGCAAGGAGGGTCTGGCTAGGATGGGATGAAAACCTGAAGTCCTGAGTACACCTTGGTGTGACGGTTAGAATTCAATTGCTGTCCATGCAAAATTTCCATCACAGCACGGCATATACCTGTCTTTATTAGCCTGGCTGGAGTAGAAAAACAGGATGTTGAACCACACTTCATTCAAATATTTTCAGTGATAAGAACAACTATCAATCTGATGATTGTGCAGGTAAATACTGAAGAGAGATTTAACGACATACTTCCATGTGAAAGCAATTGTCAGAAAAACATATTTGGAAGGATAAGGATGTGTAAAACTTTATTGACTTGTTGCATAATATAATCTTTGAAGCTGAGGTATAAAAAATATTTCTCAAATAAGAAACACAGTTTAGCATGATATTTGACTAGCAAAATATAGTGAATGCCAAAAACTCATAATGACTGAAAAGTAATTCTTCAAAGAAACATTACTAAAATATTTTAGTTTCGATATGAAATATAGCATTAATACATAGTTTAAGTTGAAAATGATAAGAGTATTGTATGCAATAGTGGTCATATTGAATGCAGATATTATTATTCGTGTATTCTAAGTCATTATTCAAAAGCTAACAGAATATTCAATTAACGTTAGTTTATTTCCTTGAATTAATAGTGTAAATATTCCATAGGAAACAAAGAAAAATATCAAATTTCATTTGTTTTAATAAATTTTGAATAATGAAAAGTATAAAATGAGTTAAAATAACTTTCAAAAACTATACAAATATTCATGTATGCACTAAATAAGGACATTGACATTTAGATATATTTTAACATATACTCTATGTAATTGATCAAAGCATGCTGCTTTGTAAATATACACACTAACAAGTATAAGCGTACTATGGACCAGGAATCGAGCACGACTGCATCGCCATCATCTTGGAATTGTGACATATCAAAAATCAAAATCCATCAATCAATGTGCAAGCATGCAAAGTTTCATGTCGATTATACTTGAATTGGCAGAGCCTTGGGTTTTTTTTCGAAAGAATGTCAACCCCCAAAATAATAAGAACAGCAACAACAAGATGAGTATAGCGCTTGGGGCACAGTTGCTGGTCCAAAAATAATGATGATGATGATGTATATACATGTAGCATTGTAAGCAATTATCATGGTATATATTATTAGAACACAATACTGGTAATAAATACAAAAAATAATAATAAACAAAATAAATAAACCTAGTTCCATTCCAATAATAAATTGACTAAATAATAATATCAAAAATTGTGTAGAAAATAATATAAAGATAAATAGTACCATTCATACAATAAAATTCAAATTCATTTATACTCAATCTCAATATTGTAACTTTGATCAATCAAAGAGGCATTAACACTTCTGAAGGTCTTTTCTGATGGGTAAAAGAAATAATTTTTAATTTGACAGACCTGATTTCATTTTCTATATGGTAGTTACTTTGCATATCTTCAACTTAGATTATATGCAAACATTTGATTAATCTGAGAAACACTTTGTGGTTCTTGTGAGAAATGCCTAACCCTAAGTAATAAGCAGTAATTATATTCCATAGAATTACGGCCTGTGTATTTCAAGTTCAGTTACTAATGCTATTGAAACAATTTAACTAAGAAATAGGCTGTTCCCTAATCTTTCAATCATTAGGTAACACTAAGGACAAGGTTATTGAAAATACGATATTCCATAATAGTTGCATTTATTTCCTTAGTTTGATTAATTCTGTAATGCCTCTTATAAATATTACAATAACCAACACAAAAAGTCATTACATTTTCGATGGGAATGCCCATAATCTGTTTCTCATTTTTACCATTGATCTAAGAAATCAAAACCTGTTTTCATACTTGTTGATAATAACTCCTTGTTTTCAACCTGTAAGATAATACAATTAACATATTTTGAATCTGAACATATTCAATGATTCATGCATCTTTAAATAACAATACCGGTAGTGTAAATATCTCTATTTAAAGAAAGTGAAAATGATCTTTTTTAAAGAATCATGCTGATTTATATAATTTGAAGTATGCTTAGGCACAGCCCAGTTATTTCCCTTAGGCCTCACAACAATCCAATAGTGTCAGTTTTTCTGTGCAATAGGCTAACTGTACTGATAATGATGGGCATACGCCATGCAGTGTGCTATGAGGTAAAATCAGTGTTTCACAATCATCACCATCATCAAATTCCAGCTGTCAAGGGTATTTTACGTGCAAGCCAACGTCTACGCAGGACCTAGGTTTTTCGTTCCATCCGAACACCAAAACCAGCGGCTGCCAGGCAGGATACGCCCACATTTTTCAAAAGATGGATAGAGAACAGGCTAAAAAGAAAGAGATTTTTCCTACAATCAAGGGCCATAATTCAGGAAATTACAATTCGATATGCGCAAATATCGAAAGGAACAGAGATCTTTGGGTTATAAACTTACATTTCAAGTTTCAACAAAATCGGATAAAAATTGTGACCTCTATAGGGTCCACAACCTTAATATGCCATATTTTTAAGCTATTTGAGAACGAGGGGCAGCCATTTTGTCTGTCAGTTTTGGGCCGATTTTCTCGAAATTCTAACTCCGCCGTCCTTAGGGTGTAACGGTGATATAATAATACAGTTTTTTAAATCAGATAAAAATTATGACCTCTATAGGATCCACAAGCTAAAAACGTGATTTTTCGTACAATCAGGGGCCATAATTCAGGAAGTTACTTTCCGATATGCGCGGATATAAGCATACATTTTAAGTTTAAACCAAATCGGATAAAAATTGTGACCTCTACAGAGTTCACAAGCTAAAAACTTGATTTTTCGTACAATCAGGGGCCATAATCCATAAGTTACAGTCCGATACATGCCAATATCGAAAGGAACCGAGATCTTTGGGTGGTAAACCTATATTTCAAGTTTCATTGAAATCAGATAAAAATTGTGACCTGTAGACTGTTCACAAACAATTGAGGACGGACGGACAGGGGCAACGACAATATACGATCAAACCAGGATCAAACCCCAGACTTCCTAGTTAGTGAGCCAGCACATTACTCACTGAGCCACCATGGCTCTTTCATATTTAGACATGTAATATACTTACCTCTTCTGTGCTAGGCAAAGAGGTGTAGCTATCAATAGATTTAGCTGGAGAGGCTGGAGTCAGCATGGATTGTTCGGGGCTAACAAAATCAACTTCATCCTTACTAGTAGTATGACTGATTTCATTTGTATTGTGTTCATTTGGGACAGAACTCTCTTGTCCTATAAAAGTTGAATAATGTTCAGTCAGTGTAGGATTACTGAAAGCGGTTTCTGGCTCGGTCTGATCAGGTATTAGCTGATCAACTGCATACCTGTCATCATTTGGCGAAGTTTCTGTAGAACAAACTTTTGGAAACTTTCCACTAAGATTCTTTATATGATGTCTGGGCGTTTTGGATTTTGAAGGGCTAACATTATCCCCATGGGGTGATATTCCCACATCTGATGATGGGGTTGGTTGATTTACAATTGGAGTATCAGAAATATAAATGTTTTTTCGACTTCTAGGTGCAGCAACTGGAATAGTTTCGATACTTCCTTCAAATCCTTTGTTGACCTCTGCTAAAAGTGAAGTTTTTGGGACAGCATTGATGGCATCTCGATGGATTTTATAACTTGAAGTTAGAGCAGAGGTCCAAGGTTCAGACTGCCATTTAAAAGGATCTTCATGGGAAGATGATGTAGAATCAACTGGTTGTTTAGGTAACGGTTTGTTGATGTTATCAGCATCTAAATCAGCAAGAGTCAGATCTTGTTGACTCTAAAAATCAAAAAAGAACATCTATACAATTCATTTGTAATCATTTTAAGTATTTTTATGACATACATAGTTCAAATTGATTAAAAATCATAAAATATGCAATCACAATCCCAGAGTCAAGGTAACACAGCCCTACATTTCACTTTAAGATGGGCATTGTGACCAAAGGTTCTGTGAATGTTGGACATGTCCCCATGATGCTCTCTATGTCACATGTGCTCCTATCTTTTTAAATTATCCACAGAAACTGTCAAGTTTCAATTTTTTTAATAGATATTCCTGTTGCATTTAAATTAAACCATAGATGAGAACATGGTTATGATTGGTCTAAAAATAGCATCATCTCCGATAAGATAAATCAAAAAGATTTCCACAAATTGATGATGGAACATGTAATTTGATATGGTTGTATTAAAACAGCGAAGTATTAATACTATAAAGTGTCTTAAGAATAGATAAATAAATATGTAATGAAAATTTCTTTTTATTTACATACCCTTGACTTCCAGGAAAAAGGTCCAGAATGCTCATCTCTCCATGTACTGAACTAAAAAAAAAGGGACATACATAGCATTAAAGAGATTTTTAAAAAGTAATTTCGGATAACAATTACATATACAAACAAACCTATTAGGGGGGGGGGGGGGGGCTTCGGGTCTTCAATTTCCATTTCTACATATTTTAATTATTTAAGTTATAACGTGGCTAAAAAAGTTCAGGTACTCTATATTCAAAAATTTTAAAAAAAGACCACAAGTGCGAAACTAGTAATGGTGGATCAATTCAAACATATTTTGTTTATGCTTTTGAATCGCAAAATTCTACTTGAATATAGTGATGGATTATATAAATTTGTGTCGGATCTGGCGAGAAATACATACATGTACATGTAGTATAACAGTTTGAATTCAAACAAGTAATTCTATCACAAATAGTAGAGAGTGGGTCACTAAAATAGTCACCGAACAGTTTTTTTTTTATATTAAAGATACATTATGGGAGATTTTAATAGAGAGTTGGTCATTCTTGCTATAACAGTTCAAAAATAGATGATGAAAGAAGAATATATTGAAAATTTCAGTCAAATTGCTTTATTCTGAACAAAGTTATTACCATTGTAATTTTTGACTAGAAATAGGAGTAAACTATCTCTTCACCGTCTCCGAGAATGGCCGATCGTTTGATGACAGGCGTTAACTCCACCTACATAATCTTGATTATCAAGTAACGTTTTCAATGGCTGTAGTACCATTAAGCTATTCGGTTTGAGACGGGGTTGCAATTCATTTTGTATCACATTTATTTTTACTACAAATTAACAAGCGGTTGCCATGCCCACATTTTGCAAGAGATGGACAGAGAACAAGCTCAAAAAAGAAGTGATTTTTCGTACAATCAAGGGCCATAATTCAGGAAGTTACAATCCGATATGCATGAATATTGAAAGGAACCAAGATCTTTGGGTTATAAAAATGCATTTCAAGTTTCATCAAAATCGGATCAAGATTGTGTCCTCTCTCTAGAGGGTCCAAAACCTTGATATACCACATATACAATATTTGCGTACGATGGGCAGCCATATTGTCCGGTAGTTTTGGTCCGATTTGTACGAAATTCAGACTCAACCATCATAAGGGTGTAACAGGGATATATTCAAACGTTTTTTTAAATCGGATAAAAATTGTGACATCTAGAGGGATCACATCCTAAAAACGCAACTTTTCGTACAATCAAGGGCCATAATTAAGGAAGTTATGATCCAATATGTGCGAATATCGAAAGGAACCAAGATCTTTGGGTTATAAATATGTATTTCAAGTTTCATCAAAATCGGATCAAAATTGTGACCTCTATAGGGTCCACAACCTTGATATACCATATTTTTACGCAATTTGAGAACGAACGATGGCCATTTTGTCTGTCAATTTTGTGCCGATTTTCACGAAATTCGAACTCAGCCATCCTTAAGCTGTAACGGTGATAAAATAATACGTTTTTTTAAATCGGATAAAAATCATGACCTATAGGGTCCACAAGCTAAAAACGTGATTTTTTGTACAATCAGGGGCCATAATTCAGGAAGTTACGGTCCGATATGCGCGAATATCGAAAGGAACCGAGATCTTTGGGTTATAAACTTACATTTCAAGTTTCAACAAAATCGGATAAAAATTGTGACCTTTATAGGGTCCACAAGCTAAAAACGTGATTTTTCGTACAAACAGGGGCCATAATCCATGAAGTTTCGATCCGATACATGCCAATATCGAAAGCAGCCGAGATCTTTTGGGGATAAACCTATATTTCAAGTTTCGTTGAAATCGGATAAGAATTGTGACCTGTAGAGTGTCCACAAACAAATTGTGGACGGACACAGGGGCGACGACAATATACGTCCACATGAAAATGTGGGCGTATAAAAATAAGACTTTTAATATATAGATAAGATGCGAAAGTTTGAAAGGAATGGACCAAATCAATGAGGCATAATTATAGCCGACTTCTTGTTAGCCTGTGTGTACTCTTGTACTGTAACTGGTGTAGGCCTATGTAACTCCCGAAGCAGACAAAATAAATAGGAAACAGTGATCCAATGGGGCTGCAATTCAACTTTGGTGATGTTAGCTGCGATGTTTATCAATTTCCATAATTTTTCTGTAAACGCAAGTGACAAAAAAGCGTATAATACCGACATCCAAACTCTCATTTAACCACAACTAAACATAATATCAAGGCCGTATATATCAAACTTTCAATCAAATTGAATGACATGCAACCTCGCCTCGCTTTGCACACTCTATCATTTAGCCTCGATCTAAAATTTCTGAGAGTATGACGAGGTTAATCTCCGCTTACGACGTCATTTAAAAATTTTATCAATCAATGAAATCCTGTTTAAATCCAAGCCGAATCCAAGCAATCCGTGGGTCTACAGAGTTGATTTTGTGCTTGTTGTGTAAATAAAGATCTAATTTATAATTTCTATGACATCTGAAGCCTAAATAAAGACTTGCAATAATCAGATTTAGCTCTTGCATAATGTATGTTTAATGTATTCCACATTTCTGAAGCAATGTTTCTAATGAGGTACAGGGTGCCATGACATCGCCCAGCTGAACTTTTGCTAGACATGTCACGCCCATAGATTGCCCATTGCTTTCCTTACAGGGATTTGTTTACTCTAACCAAATTATTGGCATTTAAATCAAATGATTACAAAACTTGCTCAAAGGAAGTCTTTAGCACCATCCACTATATAGCTACGAGAACGTAGCTAAATTCATATTCATACAGATATATACTTGTGTTTGTTTTTAACTATGATTCGATGCCTTTAGTTTTATCTGGTAAACTTAATTTCTTTACTCATGCACGACCCCTACAAGTTCCCTACTTTCGATTTTCCCTATGTCTAACTTCTAAATGTTGAGCATAGCCAGTTTTTAACGCTTCGATTTAAAAGAGTCGGGATTATATACGTAATTGTAGTTCACTAGTTGGGTGTAGCAGAAATGTAATAAATAACAATAATCAATCATTGTTTTGAAAGATAAAAATGTCAGTTTTGTTTATTGAATTGTGATGTATACGATTCACATCAGCATCTGCCAGAAGGAGTATCATCTCTTATCTTGAGACACGCAGAGGTTTCATATATCTACATGTACTGTACTGTGGCTGGAGGCAAGATGGAAAATATCAGTACCGGTACTGTAGTTTAGGGGTAGTAGTTTCAGTTAATTGCAGCTTTTTAAAGGATGGACAGGTCACAGGAACGGTCAAACTTCAAAGGACGTTGTGTCCGTTCAATCAAAGTCAGAAACTAATTAGGAAAATACTTACGTCATTTTCACAGTCCACAACAATCTTTTCACCAGTTTTTATGACAAGTTTAGGAAATGATGATACAGTTTCTATTGTTTCATCTGGTGTACTGTATAATTCTCGAACTTCATTGTCAACTACAAAATCATCAAGCAGTTGTTCTTTTTCTTGAAATGATAATTGATTCCATTTTTCACCGAGGAAATTACAAATATCTTTTTCATATTTCATAACTTTTCTTGCAGTATAATGTGACGACAATATATAAGGCATATATTCTGTCTCCATTTCAGAGGCAAATCAATCTATTTCAACTAACGTTTGATTACAGTTTGATTATTTTCTGTCAATTCGATTACAGATTGTGCATAGAGGAGCTTTTACGCGTGACGTACTTCCGGTGTCTATTTTCAGCCTGACCTTGGTGCTAAGAAAAAAAACGGGGTTTTTAGTCTTTTTCTTTTAATAGAAAACGTAATCTTGAATGCCACTCTTGTTGTAAAATGCGCGTAGCATTCGTAATAAATTACCGATTTTAAATCATGTCTAAATTATTATTTTTTTTCGTTTTATTGACGATTTTGCAGACGGATGTCAGCTGTTTCGTAACCTGGCTGTTTCGTACTTAGTTCATTCGTACCTCACATGAGCCGTTTCGTACTTCACTTCGTACCTCAAATTGATTCGTACCTTTTCCTATGTTGTTGAAATCAGTTAAAAGAAATTGAAATAAAGGTGAAAAGATTTGAACAAATCCAACGGCTACGCTAAATTTATGAAAGTGATAATTAGCACGAGATTAGTTTGTTTTCCTAAAAAAAATGTGTTTGAAAGAAATTGAAATAAAGGTGAAACGTAATTAAACGATTTGATCAAATCCAACGGCTGCGCTAAATTTATAAAAATAACTGCCGAACAAGCATTAGCTACGATGATTTAATAACAAAAAGCGAATTTTATCATATGCATTGATAATTACATGAATATGAAACATTTAAACCATATACCACAGACTGTTAAAATATTGAAAATAATTTTTTTTTTTATAAAAATGGCTGCCGAACGAGCTGATGATTTAATAACAAAAAGCAAACTATATGCATTGAAATTTTTAAAAAAAAAAATAGAAATTTCCATATTTATATTACACAGCCTGCCCAATAGTAGTAATTCCTACACAAAGGATATATTTAAACTAAAATTGCTCCAGCATTTCACTAAATTTACATCGGTTGCGATCGTAAGCCATTTTCATTCACTTTGGGTTTCAATAACAGAATTACCCTGTGATATAACCGTATATACGGTCCATGATATAACAGATCAAAGAAACGCGTACGCCCATCTTCACACGTAGGCACCTTTTGGAAACTTGCTGTGTTCTATTTTTTCATGTGGACGTATATTGTCGTCGCCCCTGTCCGTCCGGACGTCCGTCCGTCCACAGTTCCTTTCGATATTGTTGCATATCGGATCGTAACCTCCTGAATTATGGCCCCTAATTATACGAAAAATCGCGTTTTTAGATTGTGGACCCTATAAAGGTCATAATTTTTATCCGATTTAAAAAAAACAACGTATTATTATATCACCGTTACACCCTAAGGAAGGTTGAGTTCGAATTTTTCTGAAAATCGGACCAAAATTGCCGGACAAAATGGACGCCGTTTGTACGCGAATAGTGTAAAAATATGGTAAATCAAGGTTGAGGATCCTGTATAGGTCACAATTTTAATTCGATTTTGATGAAACTTGAAATCCATTTTTATAACCTAAAGATCATGGTTCCTTTCGATATGTGTGCATATCGGATAGTAACTTCCTGAATTATGGCCCCTGATTGTACGCAAAATCGCCTTTTTAGCTTGTGGTTCCTCTGGAGGTCACAATTACTATCCGATTTTAAAAAAAAACGTTTGATTATATCACCGTTACACCGTAATGAAGGTTGAGTTCGAATTTCGTGAAAATCGGACCAAAATTGCCGGACAAAATGGCCGCCACTTGTACGCGAGAATATAGTGTCAAAATATGGTATATCAAGGTTGTGGACCCTGTAGAGGTCGCAATTTTAATTCGATTTTGATGAAACTTGAAATGCATGTTTATAACCTAAAGATCTTGGTTCCTTTCGATATTGTCGCATATCGGATCGTAACTTCCTGAATTATGGCCCCTGATTATACGGAAAATCGTCTTTTTTAGCTTGTGGTCCCTCTGAAGGTCACAGTTATTATCTGATTTTAAAAATCGTTTGAATATATCACCGTAACACTATAATAAATAAGTAGCTGTTTTTCCATAAGTATGTGTTATAGTTTATTGCCCTATAGAGTTACTAAAAGCATCTTAAAGATTACCATAATAAAGGTTGAGTTCAAATTTCCTGAAAATCAAACACCAAAACTGCCGAACAAAATGGCCGCCGCTTGTACGCGAAAGGTGTAAAAATATGGTATATCAAGGTTAATTGTGGACCCTGTAGAGGTTACAATTTTAATCCGATTTGGATGAAACTTGAAATGCATGTTTATAACCCACAGATCTTGGTTCCTTTCGATATTTGCGCATATCGAATTGTAACTGCATGAATTATGCCCCTTGATTGTAGGAAAAATCACTATATCCATCTCTCAAAAATGTGGGCATATCCTGCCTGGCAGCGCTGGTAATAATACAATTAAGCGCCACTGTGGAATCGGTCCAATAATAAAACAGTTATGTCCTTTAATGATCTCAGTAAAGACCAGATCAATCTGCTATCTAAGGGCCTGAAGTATGCCCCCTCCCTACCACCCAAAAACCACGATGACCCCATCGCCAATGTAGAGAAGGGCCTTCGACAACTGGCACCGGGCGGGAATGTTGATTTTATATATATTATACACCATCAACAAATAGCCAACTTGATAACAAAATCAAAACCAAAAACCAAAAGGAATCCAAAGAACACCAGCAAAGGCGATAAGGAAGCAATCCAGGACCTGAAAGATGACAAATCCATAACCATAATTTCTGCCGCTAAAGGGAAATCTACAGTTACAATGAACGCCAATGACTATAATAACACGGTAAACATACTACTCCAAGGCAATTCCACATGCAAGAAAGATTAGGAAGAACCCGATTACCACACTAAAACAAAATTAGTTAAATGAAAAGTAGAAAAACTCCGAGACCTACAAGAGATCGCCAAAGAACCTTTTTGCCAGTTGAGGCCCAACCACCCACGCCCTCTTGATGCCAGAGCTACAATTAAAACCCATAAAAACCCAATTAAGGCTAGGTTACTAGTCTGCTCCAGGGACTCAGTGTTCTACAATGTCTCCAAACACCACTCTAAGCTGCTTTCGCCATTAGGAACAGCATCTTCATCATTTATCAAAGACTCCACTGAATTTTGCCAAAAAATCCGAGACATCACTCAACCTGGAAGAATTGTTTCTTACGATGTAAGAACGTTCCCCGCCATGAAGCCACTGAAGTTCTCCGCTCCCGAATTGATAATTTAGAAGTTCCACTTGAAACCAAATTAACAACTAGTATATACAGCATCATCGAACTTATAAATATGTGCCTAAGACTCCACTTGCTTCACCTTGACACTTCTTTCTCTATCTCCACATCCCTCAAACAGATCTTAAAAACCAATGTAATAAAATCTTAAAATCAATTCGATATTTGACAGGTAACCTGTATAATATTATATAAAACAGGAGTTATGTGGTCGCATGTCTTAGTTAAAGTAACAAGTCTTGCTGCAGTATTCTGTACTTTTTTGTAATTTATCTATAAGCTTTAAAGGTAAACCAACTAAAAGTGAATTAAACTTATCTAATTGAGAAGTGACCAGAGAATTAACAAGTGCCTTAGTGGCCTCTACAGTTACAAATTTACGTATTTTACCTATATTTCTGATATAAAAATAGCACAATTTACAAATATTATTTACTTGAGCTTCCATAAGCATAAAACTATCAAAGATTGCGCCAATATTACGGGCAGAATAAGATGAAAATATATCACAATTATCAATTACAACAGAGGGGTTATCACGGGCAAATTTACTTAATTGATGCCTTGAGCCTAATAAATATTCGCTTTTATCATCATTCAATTTTAGAAAGTTCTTTGACATTCATTTTCTAATTTCACTAATACAGCTGTTCTCGAGTTGCAATTTTGATAAATTGAAAGAAGATGGGCAATTAGGTGTAAATGAAATATAATTAAGTATCATCGGCATACAAATGAAAGCTGAGACCATCTTTTCTGACAATATCACCTAATGGTGACGTATAAATGGTAAAAAAAAATCGGACCAAGAACAGAACCTTGAGGAACCTCAGAAGACAAAACAGATTCAGACGACGAATTACAATTAACTAAAATACACTGTTTTCTACCTAAAAGATAGCTTTCTAAAAGATTTAATGCAGAGCCACCAATACCGAACTTAAAATGAAGTCTACGTAAAAGAATAGATGGATCCAACGTATCGATAGCAGCAGATAAATCTAATAAAATCAAAAATGTACATTTTCTTTTATCAATTTCCATTAAAATATCATTTGAAACCCGAGTTAAAGCTGTTTCGGTTCTGTGAATCGTTTATTAAGCACTTTGAAATGCTTCATACAAACAGTTATCATCTATGGGCCTTTATCTGAGAAGCAATACATTCCTCCAATATTTAGAAATAAAACTTAAGTAAGAGACAGGTCTGTAATAAATGAAGCTTTATTTATAAAGATGCATTATGTTATTTAGTTAGGGCTAATTTTGCTTAATGCAGATCGTTACATTTATTCACCTGCCTAGTCCCTAGACCCATCAGCCGTGACCCATGTCGATAATAATACAGTGCCATATCACAGTTGATATCTCGATAACATTATAAATTAGGCGAAAATAAAAATAAGTTGGACTATTAACGCCTAATGGCCACTCTTCAAGTAATGGCGTACCATGCCATGATATATTCCTGTTGATGACCTACATTGGTTTTTTGTTACTTAAGCTCGTCGAAACCTTTAATATAAAGTTTGTGAAAAGATTTCTGCCCGAAAAGCCAACGGATTTGCAATACGGATTGGACTACAAGTTCTGTGGACTATTACACGAAATCGCTTAAACATATATTATGCAAGAGCTAAATCTGCCTATTGCAGGTCTTTCTTTAAGCCTGTAATGTTATATAAACTCTGAATTAGACATTTATTAAAGGGGAATTATGGGAGATGAGATAAAAAGTTGACAGTTCCCGCTATAATAGTTACAAACTAGATAACGTAAATAGAATATGCTGAAAATTTCAGTCAAATTGCCCCGTTCTGAACCGATATATAAACTTTTGAATTTTAGGCTACGAGTACTGATGTGTTTCGGTTTGTAACGTCACGTCACGTCTTGTCACACCAACATTCAAGTTACACCATGAATTATTGAGTATAGTAACATCCAATATCTA